TTTTTTTTTTTTCTTCTGTTTTTTTTATATTTAAACTGTTGTATAAGTATGATAATATTTAATTGAATATGAGTTTTTGTCGTTTATGATTAATTGCATTCGAGCCAAATGAGTTCATTTTTATTTACATATTATAGGCGACGTAGATCGGATCTAATTGATCAGCTAAAAATCCATCTCGTAAATGCATCCGTTGCTTCTCGCCTCTACTATTAATGGGTACAACGCCTAAAAAAAAAAATTCATTTTTATCAAAAAAAAAAGAAAAACATATTTTATACAGCAGTGTGAGAGAAATTAAAAAAAAATAAAGAAATTAAATTCGCTACGAAGCGAATGCTCATCTCATCTAGCAAGTGCGAAAGATTTATTTATGTCCATTGGTCTCATTGTAATTTCGGTTTCCACTGTTAATTTTTACTTTTTAAAAATTTTCAAGAACAGTCGACAAACGAACGAAAGGGTAAAATTGAAATAAAAAGAGTAACATAGCCGGGCAGATGTAGATATTAGGTGTTTGCAAAACTTTTGATCAGCGACCTTTACTGGTAAAAATGATAAAGAAATTGGAAATGCCAATGTACCTAACGGCTGAATGCGATGATTTTCATCTTCTTCTAGATGAAATAACAGTTTTCCCTTTAATAATATTGATTAAATCAGCGTAGGCCAGCCTTAATCATGGAACCCTCAACGATTTAAGAGTAATGATTGGGTAGATTCAACTATCGGTTTTGGTGAATTTACTGTCAATGACAAAAAATAGCCTGGAGGGAAAAAGGGAAGGTTCGAAGACAATGAATTGTAAGACTTATTAGACGAAAGACCAGTTTCGAACGGTTTAGCAGTCGATATCAACTATTTCCAGACGTTTACATACGTTAGGAGAGGTTCAGAAGAAGAGAAAACGGCCATCTCGCAAAATGCCATTTTGATCGCTTGTTGCAAAAGTTGTCCAGGGTACACTGTTGCAGTTCGAATAGAAAGTTCTGCCACACACCCAGCATACTCACTAGAGATGGCATCTCCTGATTACCATTTGTTCAGATTTCATGCAGCATGGCTTGGCTTGCACGCAGGTCCGCAATGTTGAAGAAGGTCGAGAATGGGTAAGTAAGTGGATCGCTGCCAAAACAGTACAAGTTCTTTCGATGTGATAACGCAATCTTGCCAAAAACAGTGTAAAATATTGTAGAAGATCATGAAAACTGTTTTGATTAATATAAATTGTACCAATTTTTGGCAACAAATGGCTTTTTCAAGTGAAAAAATGATCCAAAGTCTTGCAAATACCTAATAGAAGTAAGCAAAATGATGGATATTTTTTGAAAAGACCACCGCATGATGCACCACAATACATGTAATATTGCCATCTGCTGTATCGTACCTGGATCCACTACGACTACTACTCCCACAATTAATTGATGCTCTTCAAGCACAGTATTTGTTACTAGAGGAACCAAATCTAGCGCTTCCGACTCGTTTCCATCCAATTCAACGACCACAACTAATAAATTAGTCCAAGTGAATACAGCGCTAAGCAAAAAATGAAAATATTATTATTCGATAAATTGCTTTTAATTCAATTGAGATATATGTTCGATTCCTTACCATTCGGCGATTTTTTTATGGCACCTCATTACTGAGTTTTCTATATCGATTGGATGATAATTCATTCCACGCAATGAAATAACTTCATCCAAAGCGCCAACAACGTAAACTGCATCATGTTGTTGTTGTTCGTGTGGTGTGCTGTACGAATGCAGTTCGCTCGTTAATATATTACTTGAATTGAGATGAGATTGATTAAAGGAATTAAGAGAATCATTATCGCTGTCTCTGCTCGCGATGCTTGGAGTAGTTTCGTCTAAAACCGAAACAGATTGCGAGCATTCTGTTCGTCTTAAGAATCCCAGATAACCAGTTCGCGCATATACTTCGGTTGTTGCACCCGTGACAAGCTTAGCATTAAAATGATCATTGTAATCAGTCTCATCGCCGTAAATGGTATAATAACCGTTGGCGTTATGCGGAGATTGCACCTTAACAAGACGAATATCGTAAATTAGGGAATAAATTTTTGATCGAGAAACGTTATTCTTTTTTTTTTTTTATATATATAAAACACTTTGTATGCTAAAAAGATAATTTTAAGGAACTTTTTCTATTTGTATATGAAAAAACCTTAAAAAAAATCACTCTGATCTCTGTGATTTTTATAAATCCTAAACAGCATTTATGAGTTTAAATGATCAGCGATTTCGCAACTTTTACATACCCATATTTCACCAAGATGGGAGTCGCCACAGTGACCTTTTGTATCCGGATTGGCTATTATAACTTTGACACCTGGTAACAGTTTTCCTGATTCTATTAAACATAAAGAGTTCGGCGCTCCACGTTCGACGAGAGCAACCCTATTATTGCGAAGAGCCCTTAAATCAACGTAGACCTGTGCACTTTCTGCTGAACTAGCCCCTTGAACACATATTGCCGGATTAACACGACATCCAAATGAGGTTGACACGCATCGATTATTTAGACCCAACGCTTGGAATAATTTGCAAAATTGTTGCGTGAGTTGGACTCGCGGGCGTTCTTCTGCCACCACCACACAAGTTCGCACACATCTTAAATCGATATTTCTTTGCTTCATCATTGGAATGGAATTGCTAAGTGCTTTTGTGCATAATTCGATTACGCCATACGAGCAAAAAGTATCTCGAACTCTATGTTGAGAAAGCGTAGAAAGCCACAGGCTTGGATTCGCTTCTACTTCATACGGTGCTATCAATATAGAATGATGGCCACTATATACACCGATTAATGTCCACATTGCAAAGCCCAGACCGCAATACGGATCCAAACATAAGGCAACATGACGAGATGGATATAATTCGCACGCCAATTTTAAACTGGCACAAAGACTGGATAATGATCTGAAAGACAAAATACATATTTGTAACGAATTGTCTCGAGTCGTAGCTGCTAAAGCACTGACTAACTTCATCAAAATCTCTCAAATAATGATTTAAAAAAAAAAAAAGGAAAAAAGTTGCTTTTGCCTTACACCCAACTTTTGATATTCGTGACCTGGAAAGCATTTGTGAAGATTTGTGAAGATTGAAAAGTACTTTGCATTCAGTTGATACCTCTTTGGTTGAATAGTAAAAGTGTTGAATTGCAATTAAATATATCTTTTAAGTTGTCATTTACAGTTTACCCGACTGTAAGCTTTTCATTGACTATAAGACTTGTATCTGCTATACATTGTAAACTATATATTTTCCTGTCCACAAATGAATGAATAATATCCATTAATTTGTGGGCGTCGATTAAAGGGTTATATGAAGTGTATATGAGTTTTAGTTTTGTTGAATCTGAATTTTTGCGACCGTAGGCATTGTAATGTCAAAGGATTGACAAACGAATGGACGGACAAGCAAAACAAATCAATTCAAAATCTTGCACTAATTAAACATGACGCTTCTTTCTCGATATTACAAACAAAAGTCCAACTGTAGTGCACCCGTATAGTGAGTATGAAAATTTGTAATCACCATTCCAGTAAAGCTGCAAAAAAAAAAAAAAAAATGGTGGAAAAATAACGCTGTTGACCACTGAAATATTATTTTTCTTTCCATTAACATGATTAATTTTCTTCTTGCGATAATTAAACGAAACTTTTTATAGATAATTAAGACTAGTACAACCGGCAAGTACCTATTCCTACCAAAAGGGACCACTTTGTTCCCTTATTTTTATCGGCTTGCTGCAGCCTTTAAAATAAAGAGAGGAAGCTGAAATTCGGCACAAGCGTTCCTTGGCCGATTAAAAATCCAATGGTGAAAAATGATTGCGATTTGTCAACATACACGCCCACCCGGAAGAAGAACTGAAATAACCTCAAAAAAAGGAGAATATTTTTAATATTTTGATCTATAATTTTCGAATCTTCATTTTAAACGCGAGCGGTGAGTCCAGAAAAATAGATGATCGTCTTTTAGTAGAAATAGGTATATGCCTTTGGTATCTCGAAAACTAATCCAAGTAGTAATTAACTCGGTAATTCTAGTATTAATAACCTCTATAATGATAACTTGAAAAAAAAAAAGAAAAAAAAGTTTCATTATTTTTGTAACCTATACATGGGATAGGTCCGACAATTGTTTATTGATGCCTAATCTAATCGATCATAAGTTTAAAGGTAATTTGAGAAATACTTTTGGAAACATCCATGCACCTAAATATAATTTTGTAAATATTTTGCATTTCAATTATATTGAGTATGACGAACAATTGTAGTAAATAATGTTTGCAGCTCAATCTTACCGATGAGTAATGTTAACGCCACTTAATCTTCCGCAAGTCGATACGCTAAAGTCTAAATACGCCGTGGAGTCCAGAGAACAATTCGCGATGCAAGTGAGTTTCCGTTTAGGATTGTCATCGATATCCAAAATAGAAGGCCAGGTCTTCGGATCAATAGAGGCGGCAGCTTCTCGGGATTTCAAAAGTTTTATAATGGATTGAATAGATAGCACAATAACGCTTTTAGAAACGTCAACGATCATTCTCACTGTAGGTAATGTTGTCATTAGATTTTGAGGATGTGGAGGTCTTATAGTGATTGGAATGGCACCCAAATATAAACATCCATAAAATGCACATAACAAGTCCAAGCCAGGTGGGAAAATCAAAGCTAAAAGTAGAGTAAAAAATCTATTGATTTGTACGTTGACAACAAAAAAAAAAATAAAATACTAATAATGTATGTAATAATGTGTCAATTACGCAATAAAGAACAAAGAAAATAAAGACACGTTCGGAGATGTTGGGCACGTTTTCTTTTAAGGTCATTACATAAAATTAATGACACGTATAGTCATGATGCGCTCGTTTCTAGAACGCATACCATTCAAAATATATAATAAATTTAAGGCGTCATTCCTTCATCAAAGACGCCAAGTAAATGACCTGATACTTTTACTTACTGAACCCAACGAGGGTTCTGCGTCTGAACTATTTGTCAACAATGATATTTATGACATTTGCTGGCGCTGTTATTAAGCTTCAAAATCGTGTACAAAAAGAAAGGTCAAAGCAACATGGTCGTGTCTGGTATTGTTGTTGATTGAATTCATTCTTAACAATGACCGCAACAGATGAACAGATCGCTCTGTGGGTTTAACGTCTGCACCTGGCTTGATGCCTTAATCAGACGGGTTGCCTACAACCATAGGCAATCAATTAAGTTGAGTGATCATCCCCCGGGGGGAGAGACAATCCCCTAATAAGGGGGCCTTTCTTACCCCGAGGTGCGCAGATGGTTCATCGTGTGTGGCCGTGTGAACCGCCAGTCTGGTATGTGGTGAGGCCTATCATCACCCCGGATTTATTCCAATGGATATGGAATGGTGAAAACCACACCCACCACGATACTCCCTAAAGGACCGTACCCAAGCAGTCAGGGCTCGCAACGATGATGTACCTTCCAGCGAACTTTCCTGGTAAATCGCAACCCCTGCGAGCGGGCTTCTGACCCTCGTGGTGCTTAAAATTAGTTTACAAAGCCTTTAGCCTTACTTTGCGCTTTGTACTACTAAAAATGTAATACCCCACTCTTGCCTTTAGACTCTACCATACCGTTAAGGTTAGCCAGTACCGGACTATCTTTCTTCAAGATGTATAGTTATCGGGCGTATCAAATATGGTTGAATATGCTGGAGATTGGAGAAAAGATATATAAAAAAAAAAAATTTTTCCAACATCTGTGCTTCGAGCGACACATACAATGAATTTGTCTTAAAAATCCAAAGCATAACTTATTATGGGTCCATCCGCGGCAACCATCAACGTTCACTACGAAAAAGCATAAATAATAACTAGTGATAGTGAATCACTTATTAAAAAGAAACGTTCGTAATAGAGGGTAAAGCATTGTAGGATTGTTGTCGACAGTCAGTATTAAAGTAAAATGTCGTGCTACTACACCTCTTGTATTCGCCAGACATTCCAACTCTATCAACGAATGACTTATTATTTCTCATTCTTATCCAATAATAGAAGAGTGATTATAAGATCGGACGTCCTCTTAACATCGCATTTATATTCTATCAAAAAGATGTGTAAGTATATGTAGCTACCGCTGGGCAAGGCTAATTTTCTTTACATGTAGGCAGTGTAGTCTTTATCGACTCCCTTGAAATTTAGCCTACCGCGAGTATTGTTTACTTGCAAGTCTGCAAACATGGCTGTCCGGCGGACGTTTCGCGTCGAATGAAGAATTCGAATGTGAAGCAGACCTGTGTTTGGTGTTGCTCGATAGATATACATTTTACTTGAAAGGAATAAAAAAAATTGGGAAACCGTTGGGCGCGACATTTGAATCTAGATTATATTGAAAAGTTTATTATACTTATGCCTATTGCAAACGTATAATTTTTCCAAGAAAAAAAAAAATATTTTGCTTACTAAACAGTTATTAGTTATTGATCACATTGGCGATATAATCATACATATATCACTAGTTTGCTCCTTTCTCATTTAATTTTCTCATTTGTCGTGTCAGTATGTAGCATCCAGAAGTAGGCGCGACAAGCTCCACAAAGTTTATGTGTTCTTTGACCGAAGGTTCCGACGTCAATTTAGTGTCGGTACTTAGAATGCCCTCGATCAACTAATTTGAAATGGGTATAATTTCAAATGGGGAAAGTGATCTTACACCCAGAGAAATAAACAAGAGAGAATCGTATCTTATAGTCAATATAAAATCGGATATATATGTTCAGTACTAATGGTAATACAAAAGTCCGATGTAAAAATGATATTGATCAGCTCGCAGTTATGCCTAAGCAAGAAGCCTACATTTCATATGGGCGAAAAATTAACGAAAGACTGGGCAAGTCTTATATATATATATACGCTAGTTTGAGTAGCTGGATATCGAAGACATTCTCTGAGCAGAATATATTTAATTTAAAGGAACAAAATCCTAGTCTTCTACATGTTTGCCTTAACCCTTATACAGCTGGAAAATAGAAAAAGCGAAAATTATTGACTCGAAAATAAATTGAATATAAAAACTTGGCAAAGTGCCTTCGGATTTGAATTAAGTCAAAACTTACCAACATGATCATTTGGTTCGATTTTGCCCTTCTCTTGCAAGAGAGCTGCAATTTTTTCCGCTCTTTTATGTAATTCGGAGCAGGTTAGTGTCTTAGCTATGGAACCTGCAAAAGATTCATTCATTTTTTCATCATTCATACAAACACAATGCTTTTAAGCAAATTTACCTTTCGTGTTTAAAAGGGTGAACAATACATGATCCGGGGACGTGTTGGCTCTCCATCGCAAAACGCCTGTTATTAATTGGTACTGATGCAATAAAATGCAAAAAAAAAAAAAAGGAAGAAACTTTTCTAACTTTTGTTTATTCGAAAGCATTAAAAAAAAAAGGAGATTTGAGATAAAAATGTTTCTGCTTTTAGCCGCACTTTGAAAATTTTTTAACCAGTTTTACAATATAACAAAATTTTTTTATATATATCTCACATATGACGTAGATAATGTTTTAAGAGATATACTATTGACTGATCCCGTTTGCGAATCGATTGCAAATTTATTGTAATTTAGACTAGACTTACTTTCAAAAAAACGGCTGCAAATACTGTTGTTGTTGTTGTTGTTCAAGTTATAATTGCAATTGACATACCTTCCGTTCATTGTCTTCGGAGAGTCCAAGATCGCGTCCTTGAGCAACCGCAAGCCGATTACCCTGCACTAAATTTCCAACCATCACAGACGCTGGTCCAACCGAGGTGTCTGTAATACCACATCCAGATGAACTTAGTTTTGCAGTGGAATGCACACCTTTTATGATGTTAGTATTTCAATGTATAATTCCAATCAATTAAACAGATGTTTATTATAGATTAAGGTGGATTTGGTTAAGTGAAGTTGTGGTTTGAATGAAATATTTTATATATATGTAAGTGTATTTGTTTGAGCATTATAGAGAGTAGTTGTTGCAATCGTAAAGTGTTGTGTTAATGCGCGTACACGATTTATATGGTGTAATAGCATCAGTGGATTAAGTACAAAATCAGCGCCAGAATAGAAAAAGAAAAATAAATATATTTCACGTATTTTATAATAAGTGGAAAATAGAGAGAGAGAGAGAGAGAAAGAGAGAGAGAAAGAGAGAGACAGAGAGAAGATAAAGATAAGAAAAGGTTTGGGCGGGGAGGGGGAAGAGAGAGCGAGAGAGAGAGACAGCGAGAAAGAGAAGGAGAATCATATATTCTATAGTTAGGCTGAATGTAAACAATCCAACATCTAAATTTCTACATATTCTATGATAAAACATAAACAATCGATGAAGGAAAGTTTACATAATTAAGTTAAATGTAAGGTGAGCAATTTCACTGTATATATTAAAAATTCATTTCCACTATATTTAATTATTTTTGGAAAATAGATGGCATAACAGAGCTTCAAATCGAGAATGCCATTCTTGACATTCTTCTCATCCATATATATGTATAGGCTGTAATGAATTTCTTAAGCCTTTCTATTTTTCAAGAAAGTTAGCTACCAATGTAACTGTGTAACTGTACATATCCATTTTTAATTATAATCCATCCATAGATACTTTGAAGGCAATATTTCTCTGTTACCTATGTCAAATAGGTTAACAAACTGTAGCGTCATTGTAGCGCCAAATTCGATATAAATTTTTGAAAACACATTCAGATGTTTGTGTACTCTCTTTCAATATTTTCCGTTTGCTTGTTCGAAGATCAGTTTGAGGATCAGAAAAAAGAATTGCATGTAAGGAAAGGATTGATTATTAAACAAAGAACAGATTGAGAAAGCATATCCTTACGAAAAAAAAAGAAGAAGAAAATATATTAATAAAAAGGAAAATACGGTGGTGCGCCATCAATTATTTAAGAGATCATAACAATAAGGCTTGTCGGTCAAAGCCTTGTTGATCAAGAACATAGTGTCAATGTCAATTAAAACGCTTTACCTTTTGCTTCTTCTAAATGTGTGTTCATCAACTAACCTAACAAATATCTTTGATTTTGAAGTTTGGTTTTGTTGCGATAAGAAAGCAAATAATAAGTAAACGGTAGGCAAACGAAATGAATAAATGCAATGCCGAGCACAAATGTCAATATATTGCATTGTTCAAAGACGAGTTCTATGCTATAAATGTTTAGTTCCTCTCTATAAATGTTTAAACTGAAGTTCGGAAACTAGGTTTGTAATTATAAATTTAGTACAAAAGATAGATATTAATTGTGTTTTATCGTAAGTACGCAAGTAATATGGCATCAAACTTACCCTGATGAATTTCTCTTGGTTTTGGTAGATTAGTGACGCAGGTATGCGGACACATTAACACGTTAGCAGGGTGAAGAGAGCCGTCTAAAAATCGACGCCGCGCTTCGCAAAGATTTATTCCACCCAATGGAGTTTTCGGCAAGTGATTTGGCGGTACTAGCGCCAAACAATATATACCTACTTGATGAATTGAGTCGACCGCTTGCAAAACTCTTGACATCCATTGGAAGCTTTCCTCTTCAGAACAATCAGGCCTTTGCTCGGCAATAACACATACGCGTTCGTCTCTTAATACTTTAATGCTGAAAACGGCAATACGTCCTCTGTAGATAAATCGCATCGGTTCAACTGCTAAAACAGTTGCAATAATATCATCTGCGTTATGTTTTCGACCTGTAACCGTCATTAAACCGTCACGAGAACCGCAGACAAAGACAAGACCCCCAGGACCAAGAAAGCCTAGAAGTCCTGACCTTACATAATACTCATCACTAATTGATTTCGTTTTAATAACAGCACCGTCTTTGTCACATTCGGGATCATCTAAGAATGGTTGCACCTTGAAAGTGGCATTGGTTAGCCCTTCCAATCCAAAATAACTAGCGCCAGTAGCACCACTGGTAACACATATTTCACCAACTTGATCGGTCTTACAGAGCACGGGATATCCTTCAGATCGCACAACTACCATATTGGCCGTAGGCATAACTTGGCCACAGTCCTGTAATGTTAGGGACGTTAAAGAATCTTCGCTATCCACACGAACAACACCATGAGAAAGCGCTGCCATAGAAAGTACACCTCTTCCCGTAGCCGATTGACTAAATGCGCTCGAAGATCGTCCTGGTCGCCGAAGCGATACAGTGAATACCTCTGAGCTGCTCGCGCACGGACATATGGCATCTGAACGAAGGCCTTTTGCCTGGAAAACATTTAAAAACTGGTCACACGACGACAAAGACCATGGATTAGCTCCATCAGCGACGAGGAGCATTCGCAATGACGACAATGAGATATCTTTATGATCTTTTGTGGCTAAAAGACCCCAATGTAAATCACGACTCTTAACTAAGCAACACGATGCTCTATGTTTAGTTATTAGTTGCATCCAGGATGACGGTCTTAACTTCATTAGAGCGTATGGAATGAACAGTACATGCATCCCATTTAATACTGACGTCAAGACAGCATGCCAAAGTCCAACTTCACGTTTAAAATCTAAAACGCAAACGATAGTCTCACCTTCCGTATAATGACATGCCATACTTAAAGCTCGGCAATGATTCATCATAGCAAGCCTCGTAACGGTTACGCCTTAAAACAAATAAATATATATATATATATATATATATATATGTACACATTAATATAAGTGTTTTATACTTGTCCTTCTTCTAAACAGCACTGCTACAATACAACATATTAAGAAACTAAAGAAAATAAATGCTCTTTATAAGTTATCAAGAATGTACACGAAAGCTTCAGTTTGCATCGTTACTAGAAACCGGAGGAGGAAGACGCAATGGACAATATGAACGCATATGTGTATATATGAAGGGCAATAAAAATATAAAATTCTCAATTTACATTAGATGCTTGCAAAAATTTTGGCCAGTGACTTCTATAGGTAAAAATGATAGAGAAATGGCATATATCAGTGTATATAATGGTTACATTCGACTATTTTGACCTTTTTCTACCTAAAATTAAAATGTATTCCAATTTTAATATTATTGAGTTATTCAGCATATGCCGACACTAATCACGGAGCGCTCAGAATTGCATTTTCAATCTTCATTACTTAAGTTATTTAATTTGAAGAAATCTGTGGTCAAGGCCGTTCAGAAGCCTATGATGACGCCGCTTCATCATTTCAACAATTTAACAGTCGCATCCACACATGCACATATACGGTGAGAAGATGGCTGCCTCGCAAATTGATTAGCAATACCATTTGAGCTATTTGTTGCAAGGGTCGCCCAGAGATACATTGTTGCAGCTCGAATGGGAAGTTCTGCCACACCAGCAGCCTTGGAGCCCTCTGAATGTCACTTGTTCAGGTCAATGCGGCATGGTACGGCTGGCACGCAGCTTAATAAAATTGAATAAGTGACCGAAAATGGCTCGATGATTGATTGGATCGCTGCCAACCAATATAAGTCTTTTCGATACGTTATTGCCATGTTGCCAGTAATATGGTAAAACGTTATATAAAATGATGGAAAATATTTTAATTAATATACATTTTATCAATTGTTCTCAATAAATGCTTTTTTGAAGTGAAAAAATGGCGAACATTTTTGCAAGCACCTAATAATAAAAAGATAAAAATATACAAATTAAGTAAAATATTTAAAAAAATTAATAAATAATATTAAAAACAATTCTATTTAGCACTTAATAGAGTTATGCAAATGAAATGAATCCGAGATTTTCTTTGTAGAAATGCAAGAAACTTTTTCAAATATTTAGGCGTTTGCATATGTTCGAGGTGTTTCTTCCAGCAGATGCGTTCAAGTTGCATAACTTTGGCAATACTAATCCTATTAAGCTACCTAGTGCATGTAAATTTTTAAAGAGAATTCAGATAACGAGAAACATTCGAAGATTTTTTGACTCAACCGAAAGAAAGAGTGCACGGAACATAAAAAATATGCTGACAAACATTCTCTTATTCCTTTACTCCTTCAATTAAAGCGAAATTTTGCGATATTTATGGTGAAGATGCTTTATCTTCTGCCTTTACAATTTAAGAAGATAAAGTACTTGAAGAAAGTAAAGAAGGCTGACGCATTTGATCTCAACACGATCTGTTTGAAACATAAAACTGGTTATAAAATTCAATACTTGGGTACTATAAGAGTTATATTAACCAGTCGACCAAATACTGAAGCACGGATCCATGTTAAAACCGACGAAATCGAGCTATTCGAGCAACATGCGCAAAAAACGATTGTGAACGAAGATAGAAGGAGTTGCGAGAGCCTTGTCAAAGCCCCGTAATTTTTTTTCATTTACCGGCAATTTGAAAGGAATCGTACTCCATACTGGACACGTCATTGATTTCATTACCTATTGCTATAATAATTGATGTGAGTAACGAACGCAATTGAACATAGACATCCGACAAGGCATCACATTGCATTACAACAATGCTAAGACACACAACCTTGTCACAATTCATTAAAATTTGTCAGAGCTTGACTTGGTTTTAACGTATCCCCGATTTTGCCTTGTCCGACCATCATTCGTCTTCCTGTAAAGCTGATTTTTCAAAGGAAACTTTTTAAAGACACTTGGCTTAGTTCTTCGCCGAGATCAAAATGGCACATATTTCATTTAATAAAGCACATTTAAAACATAAGAAGAGCCGCGAACTTACACGAAATGTCTTATTGCCGCGAATTTAAAATCCGCAAAAGAAAACGTAACACAACTCGAAATTTTGATTTATCGTTGAGTGTGTAAACTTACCCATTACACTGCCCTCTTTATCTGTAGTGTACTCAATATATGCAGTCGTCGAGTCTTCTAGTCGGATATTGCCGACATTAAAATCCTTAGGCGGTTTAGGCAAATGCTCGGTGACGAACCACTGCAATCGGGGCCATCCTTTAAATTTTGCTATCTCTCCTGTACTAGATTTTGGCAGTCCCTTTAAACAAGCCTCAGATGTTAGCGCGACAGTAATACCGCATGAACTTAATAAGAAGCCCACTTGTTGTGGAGGCGTGTCGGATGTAGATAATGGTAACTCAATTGGCAGTGGAACAAGTCCGCGAAACATGCATCCATACCAAGCTGTTATGAAGCTGGAAAGGAATTTTAATTTAAATAAAAATAATCATTAATCACTCGGTCACTTTCGTTTATCTAAAGTATATTGACTCTAACAGGCTTAATAATAATAAGTAAAAATGTTAGGGAGCTTGTGACTCTAAATGTAGAAAATGTACAAAATGAATATAACAAAATATGAATTTTTTTCTCTCACGAAGTCTCAATGGTTTTTCTGTAATTTATTTATTTACTTATTTTAATAATTATTTTACAAATAAAATTGTAAGGAGGGTATAGTTAGCTACAAGGCTTTTGAGCCTTTTTTTCCATATACATATTTTCGTAAATTTAAATAAATATTAATTTAAATTTTAAATAAATCAAATGAATTAATGATCGTAATTTAATTACCTGAGGGGATCGTTATTGGGATATACTAATGCAACTCTGTCGCCAGGCTTTAAAGTCACTTGTTCGGGACCTTTACTAAATATTTTTGTTGACAGTGAATACGCTATTTTTTGTGCCCTTGACAGTAATTTGCCATACGTAAGGGTTGTTGTTATCTTTCCATTTGGATCGACTACAGTTGCCATTGGAGATTTAAATGAATTGCTACCGTAACGTTGTACAGCAGCTTCGAGGGAGCGAGGCAATCCTGCTGACACAGTTAATTGTTCTCCTTGCACGGCCGTCATTGTGCTTCCTTCGGGCTTTGGAGCATTTGGATCTTTGGGATTTGCTGCTATTTCTAATTCAATATCGTTATCTTCATAAAACTCTGGCAAAGGACGACGTTTCGGTCGTTTTAAAGTATTCAAAAGCTGTTGAATTTTCGCAGAAACTTTCCATTTACCGTTACAATCTTCATTGACGTCAGTTTGTGATATATTAACATATCTTGTTACGCGATCAGCAACACGTCGCGTGTTATTAAACTGTGTGATATCTGGAGCCGCATCTGTCATATATATATATGTATATATATATACATTTATACAATTAAATTTTGTACCAAACGCTTTACACTACTTTTTTCTTTTTTTTCTTTTTTTTATTCTAATTACGTTTAGGAAAAGGTGTACATCAATGTCATTTCACTACATCTACCTGTCCCTTAAGAAAATGTTTATGGTCTTTAAGTTTGAGGAACGAATAATTAAATATTTTCTTTTTTCATTGTACCAACAAATGCCCACTAAATTTTTAGAAGACCGATCGATTCAATATCTATCTTCAATACGCCTTTGGTATGCGGCCCGATTTTTTTTACAGGGGAAATGCCAATTTTGCGGGCATAAAATTTCGAGTAATTTTATCGGATTAATGTTTTGGGACAACATTTTTATTAAGACGGTTAAAAACTTTTTTATAAAATTCTTAAAAAAAAAAAGGTAGTAGTGCTTGCAAAGGAACCAATCTTTTTTAGAACATCTCTGGGGCCATATTATTATTGTATCTCAATTCTCAATCGATTGTCTTGTTCGCTCATTGTTTGGCTGGATTTTGTACACCCGCCGCCGTTAAGTTGGGAATATATTCAAGTTTGTCAAACTTGACAGACACTACGAAGCATGTCGCTCCGGCCGTCTGTTGTTTAATATGTCGGTGGTAAATAATCTCCCGGGCACATAAATTAATAATTGGCCTGAAATGCACAAAGTTTGCATATTGAAAACCGACGCAATCGGTCGTAGGGCACGCCGAGAGTGCAACCATACCCCAAAGGCAAAAAGGTGGTTAACCCTTGGGTAAATGGAGAGAAATTGATCATCGCCATCCAATATTACAGAATATCGAAATTCTAATTTTATGATGCGATAATGATACGACAAACAGTATAACAGTTTCGAGAAAAGTGCGATTAAAAAGTTTGAAGTAGAGAGATTTCATTCGGAAAATCAACTTTTGAATCGCATAAAAATATGACGGCCCATAAAATCTCTTGTCTATTGAAGGATCACTTAAGACGACAAAAAAAAAAAAAATTTATTGAAAAAAAATTCACAAGACAAAGCATTACTCCTTATGTATATCGCGTGTGTAGGTATAAATATTCTTGATGGAAGAAATGAAGTCCAATAATATCGTAATTTTTTCAAAAATTTGCAAAAAAATTTTTATAAAAATATATATGCATATAGATCTTTGGTACATACAAGCTTTAGAAGTTTCTACGTTCTCCAAATAATCATCATTATCTTGCTTGAATGTCGTTATTGGCGAATCCAAGCCAGAAGTCTCCAATTTGGGCTGCGTTAACAAAAAGATAATAATCAAAATATTATTTATTCATATATATTTAGGGTTTTGGTCCCTATGATAATCTAATCATAATATTATTATAATAAAATCATTATTATATAGATTATAATAAAATCAATATGGACGCTCTACGGTTAATTTGTTTTGTAAATTTTTATTTCCATTTCTCATTTGAACTCTTACCAGAGGAGGTAACGTTTGTTTCTGCCTTCGATCGGATTGGCTGTTTTTAGCAGGAAAAATACCTTTAGAAGATTCGCGAATTGGTGGCTTTATGTTTGGCTCAACTATGTTACTAACATGATCTCGAGGATAATTGTATTCTCTGTCTGGGGAAATAATGTCATCGGGTATAGAATCATCGTCTGTTGTCGAATCTATGAATTTTGCAATATATATATATATATATATATATATATATGTATGTATGTGTATTTGAAATTGTAAGAATTGTATTAATATAGATAACCGTACTCTACCTAAATCATCGTTGTTCCTTTCTGGACTTCTGTTTAGAACTGAGCTTCGCTTTGATGGCATAGGTAAACTTGGCTTCGGTCGAGATTTAAGAGCAGCCAGTGCCTGCTGCACTGCCTCTTGACGAACTTCTACATTTGAAAACGATTTAAATATTATGGAAGCGTACGGTTGCATATGGTATAGCCATTTAAATAAAAAATAAAAAATATAAATAACGGTATATACCTGAATGATAGCGCTTTTCATTGTGAGTGATTTTCCGATGAGTTCGTCGCATTCGACTGTTTTCATAACCATGTTCGGATTGATCATCGGCTGGCTGTTGATAATAATCAGACTTCTTTGTTGACGAACTGGAATGTCTTTGGTGAGGAAGGGATGGAACTTCTGTAACATAACTGTATCCTTCACTGGACACTAAAGCGCCATCTTTCATAATCCTTATATTCTGTGCGCCGGGTTCCTTAATATTATAATACGGTGGGTTGGCCTTATTATGTTTATCATCTTCCGTCAAGCTGGATGCTTTGGCTTCAAATAACAAAAATATATTACATTAAATAGTGAGCATTCTATGTCATGTCTACTATGTTCAACATATAGAAATGTCAGCTTAATAATCAAAAACAATTTATACCACTTAACTAGTGTCCGTCCTTATCAATATCAATTTAACTTTGCTGTTCCTTTATATCGGAACGGCTTTCTTTCGATGAGTCAGCAATTAAATTTGAGGAGATATTTAAGAGAGGCCCCCTTGGAACAGCAACGGACTGTAGCAACGGCATCGTAGCATCATTTTTACACTTTATGACACAATGCACACGATCTCCCGCAACTGTATGTAAAATAATTTGTTTGAACTTTTTATATATCGAGTAATATGTCCCATTCCATTCATAGTTAGTTATTCCTGAAAGTCATCGCTGTGTTTCGATGCTTGCATAAATTGTTAAAAGCGCTTGACTACCCCTCTTGACGCCGTACCGACGAACCTTCTATAAAAAGTCCATGCCAATAATAGGCATAGTTGATCTACACGCATGTAAGACAAACAAATCATGACTTTTTTATGTATTTATCAACAACAAATTTTGTCGCCTTTTTTCTCTCTTTTTATATAGAGTCCATAAAAAAAATATATGGAAATATTATTATTCTTCACAAAAGCTTGTACATTTTATATTTCAAATGTTAGGTTAGGTTTTGTCTATATCACTTGAGGTGCGTACATTCCAGCTCACACGTACACATGTCAACAGCAGTTAATTGCTTAAAAATGGATATCGTACATACCTTCGCTGACCTGTGTCAAAAATGGTTGTAACAACTTAGTCCTTTTCTTCTCGTAACCTTTTTGTGTTATATCTCCTACACAAAAGAAAAAAGAAAGACAAAGGGAAATTTTTTAAATAATTTAAAAAAATTAAACGGAATTAAGTAAAACTTAGTGAAATTTTATACACCTAACCACATGCGTATTGTCATCTTTGTTAAATCCATAAGCCTTCTCCTAGATCGGTAAAGATTTCGTAATGAAAAATTTCTCGTGATTCGTTATTTAATTATTATCTGCTAATAACTTTGAATTGACATTTGCCTTTCATTGATCCTGCTTATGTGACTTTCTTATTTAGGTATTCAGAAAAAGAAAAACTTAGATTGGTTTGGAAACTAAATTCTGCTATGCCTTAAGTTAAATGCAGTCAAATATATACTCAAATGTCGCAAAATGTATATATCATAAAATATCGAAAACAATCGGAGGAACTAAATTAAGAATTTGAGTTGATAAGAGTAAGAGGTAAGTTTTAAGATCACGCATGATATTTCAGAGGAAGTTGTCGTTGCCATAGAATAATTTGGCTTGGTTAGGTTCTCTATACACCTTAGTTGAGAATGTAAAAACTTTATTCTTTATCTAAAATATTAGATCGAATAATTTAAACAATTCACTTGAAGATATATGCATAAAAATAAATCAAATTTCCAGTGCCTTCTTAAATAAATTAACTTTTTGATCATTCATCTGTGACCTAATTATTTACGAGTTTTTAAAACTATAGGCAAGATATGTAGATCATTGGAGATTGCAAAGACGCTGCAAAATGAAAATCCAGGGGCACTCGCTAACTATGCCTTGGATTCGGACTATTTTAGTAGTGACTTGAATTCAAAATAGAATTGCGGGGAATTTTTTTTTTACTTCCTCATTTCCTTGATTTTCTTGAATGTTGGACGAATTACGTCGTAAGATCAAGCTTATTCGTTTTTTTATTATATTTATGTAATTTTAGTATGTAGTTGTACATGATTTCGATCCATATGAGTTAGGATCCGAAATTCATTGACATATATTTTTAAGTTATAAATTTTTTGCTTATGATTATTACTTTTACTTTCTCGAAATCAATTTCAAGCATATGTTGGACATTTCAAGTTTCTATCTCAGTAAATAAACAAACAGATGATCTCAAGTTTGCCGGGAGTATACGTATATGCTTTTGTAGGATATGATATTGCCCTGCTTCTGAATAACTAGAAATACCGAAAACAATAATTTTAAGTTACATTAGCTATGATTCCAGAAATTTTCATCGGCAGATATTGGTTGAAATTTTTTAAACATTTGTTTAAAAATATATAACCAAATAATTTTAATACGTTTTTAATCAATTTATTGAAAATTTACGGTTCAAAGTGCTTAAAAATATTTTCGAATAACTTCCTCTTAAATGTAAGTGAAATTTTTTAATTTAATTATTTATGAATAGAGTGCAACCACTTTACAATGACATCATTTGACGGTTAAGTGATGACCTGCACTTAAATGTTGAATTCATCAAGTTTCCATAAGAATGAAGAGAACAGTTTCGTGTCCTCGAAGTTTGCGTTCTATGTTCCGAAGCGAGCCTCCGTTACTTTATATAGTGTCGTATACATAGCAAGACTTATCCAATTGTCCAATCATTTAATTCGTCGTGTTACGCTAAAATTATAATGACATAAAATGAAAACAATAAAAAAAGACATAATTGTTTGCAACGAAAAATTCTGGGAATCGACACTGAAACTTAAATTTGTTACTAAAAGTTACTGTATATGTATATGACACCACACTTGAGAATATTTGTAAAATACTTCGAACGTTATTCTTAGGATGAAGGGAATATTTGTTTTAAATCCTACTTATTAATTATAAATGCATGAATACACGAAAACGGATATATATATAAAAAAAATTTGTCATAAATTTTACATGAGTAAATGGAATATATTTATGTGCACGCATGTAACCATCCTTTAAAGATGCTCATAAATACGTATGAAGTTTAAGCAATAATATTTACTAGTACTAATAAGTAATTGGATATGACTTACCTTCCGATAATTCTAATTCGAGCTCAGCCAACTTCTCTCTTACATCTGCAGGAAGATTAATTTTTTCCAACCCACTTAAACAATTTGCAGACATTTTGTCAGACTAGTGCACCACTCCTATATAAAGCTCTAGCAATAGCACTAAAAAAAATTTCTCCTCTTGACGGCTTTCTTTTTGAGAAATTTGTGTATTTTTCTATTTTAGTTACACGATTTCGCTTAAAACTTTATCGACTTTAATTTCTCACTTTTTTTTTTTTAAATAAACACACAAATACAAATTAGTCTTCTTTTTCTTCATACTCGTATGATTATATATATAAACATATATGTAGTTTCTATATATATTTGTGCACATATATGCATGTATTCTTGTTTTCAGTTTAGTGTCCTGACACATCCAAAGAGAGAGATGGCCAGAATAAGTTTAAAATGTACGAAGCTCCATTGATTAGAAAACTATTTATGCGTTAATGATTTCATTTGCAGTTCTAGTTATTTTAAGGCTAATTATTCACTTTAAATAAAACTTAAAAATAAATCTCGCAACCTTTTCTAATTCAATTTCCAAAGCAATCACTGAGATAAAAAAACTAGTATTTCAGCACTATAGACTTTTACATATGAGAAACATGGAATATGGCAACAATTATTAAATCTAACGATGGGTGTTTCGTTTTTATTTATTTCTCTTTGTAAGATTGAGGAATTTAAATAAACCATTTTGACGTCCGCTAAGATAACAGCAAATGCGGACTTAATAAAATTACTAAACAATGTGTATAACTTTTAGGCGAATTTAAAAAGCTTTAGAAGCTAAGCGACCATTTACCAATAAAGTTAATATGGTAATTAGTTTTCGAGAAAAGCGAATGAGGACGATGAAACTTCAAAGTGAATTTTATCATTTTTCTTAGCAATTTATACTTAATTTCCACAGATATAAATTGCGTAACAAATCCATATTAAACCGATATCTATATTAATATCATCGTAAATTTGCACGAAATTAAATATAGAAGTATTTTGGTAACAAATATACACTGTTTTTTTCAACTTTTAACAGTCTGGTCTGTTTTTAGGTAAGGAAAGCTTCATACCATTTCGTTTTACTGCGTAGTAAACAAATGTCGCAAACTTTAATTATTAAACATGAAGGCATATGATGAAATCATTAATCGTCATTCGATAATAAAGTAAGAATTTTTTGCTAGAATAGTTCAATTAAGACAGAGTAAAAGATAACTGAACTTGGCTGATTTTATCGTTATTGCCCTTAGTATATGCATTGACAATGCTAACCATCGTATATCGTGATCTCTTGTAAGCAATTAAAGCGTATCGATGTTTTTTAATCACTTTTCCGTCGGAACTTTCCTCGCTCTAATTATATGACTCATGTTTCACATTAAATAATTGAAAAAATCCAATTTAACCCTAAGATTGTTTTGACTTTTTCCTATTTATTAACAACAAATTGTGCACACTTTTAGCACATGGAGTAAATTATTATTTTCTCTTTCTTCCTCATTACAATTTTTATTTTTATTCAATTATGAAAGCTGCCAATGCCGAAGTTTGATAACTTCAAGTGTATTATTCCATTCCATAAAGCCACTTTTACTTAGTTCGTGTCCAAAATCCTTTTTGGTTTGTGTCCAAAATCATCCTTCGATTTAATTGAATCAAATATATATATATGTATGCACGCATTGCACGAATTGTTTGAAAATTCATATATCATATAAATTAGTTGACAATTAAGCAGCGCGTAAAGTACAATTTTGAAGAACTAAAAGGACAAACACGATCGAAACAAAAAAAAAGAAATAAATAAACAAAGTTGGAAATTCAACAAGTTGTACAATTGTAAATGTAAATAAAAAATTCAACTAATCACGGTCACCTCTAATCCTCTGAATGGCTGCAGTCTGTAATGCTATATAATTGAAATAAGCTTTAACAGATTTTTCATCCATCAATTGCCTCAAGAATGTATGAAAAAGTTAAACCTTTTCCATTCAACTTTCACTTAATTTTTAATGGAACTTACAGATAATTACATCACCTTGTAGAAGGCTGAGAACGTTCGATAATGTCATGGGCGGAGTCTGGCATTGTAGATCGAATCCGAAATGAAAATAATAATAAAAGTATGCAGACATGATCGTATTATGGTGTTTTAGTGACGAAATGTCTCTGTCTATTTGCTCCCTATATTTTTCTATATTAGTTTGTTTTAACGGCAACTCATTCTTTGTATAAGAACCGTTTTACGTGGTAGCGTACTTAAAGTAGATTTACGTGGTGCAAATTCGTTACAAGTACACAGTAATCTGAGACCTCCTCTCTTTTCAAAATTAAAAACAATTTCGTTTTTTGCTCATTAGTTAGAAGATACACGGATAAAAGTGTGCATGTACATTCTAAGGGCGCTCCCTCAGCACCCATGCGAAAATTAGAGAAATCGGCAGCACCTACAAAAGCGTTTACAGCGATTATTTTCACGTTTTTGATATTATCTGCGTATTACTCATAAGTTATACAAGGCAGAATATTAAAAATCATTCTGTACATTTCTCTCATGAAGATATATTATATTTCTAAAAATGTGTTAATTCTAAAATAAATACATAGGGCAGACCTCACAACGTGGAAGATTCGCTGTTTCTTAACGTTCTAGTCAAATAAAAGGACTTGAAAAGTAGAGCACGGCTAATTCTAAGCTAAATATTGCGGACCCCATGGCGGTATACAACAGACAACGGTGATGGGCATAAAACATTCGGACGAGGCGGAAAATAATTTTCGTAATTTTTAATGTATGGCTGCATTGTATTGTATATTAAATGAAATAAAAAAAAAAATAAAAAAATTCCATCAAAGCACAAACCACAATACACATAATGCTGATGAAACAATTTTTTGTTTAAATTTTTTTGTTTACATAAAGCTTTTAATTTTTGTTTACGTTAAATCATTAGTTTGTAAGTTATGTCTAATCGACAATTTTTTATAAATAGCTCATAAATGGAAGGGAAAAAAGCAGAACAACAATACTTGAGTAGGTTAGTAAGCGTACGTTTAAAAACAGATTAAACAGATCCGTGAGATTTCGCGCCGACATTCCTTGATTGAATGGGCGTGACGTATTCTCCGACTTTCAGCAGAAATAAGTGTACCACATGTAGAAACAGGCAAAGTGGATGTGTCCCAAAAAACAACGAGTTGAAATATATATTTACTGTATTACATCGTTAAAAACCAAAATATAACATATGAACATATCTACTTCCTTATGCAGAATTTTTGAGCTTGAAATCACAAACCCATCAAATTAACGGATGCCGTGAATCTCTTATTAAATATTAGAAAATGATTACTTTTGAAAAATATTAAAAAATGGCAGTACCGCAGCCAAACTGTACATATTTTCTTCGTACACACGAATGATCAAATGTCTTATTGATATTTGAATAATCGCTTACCACAACTTATCACATAAAAAAAGATAACATATTTTTTTCTATGAAAAAGCCGAAAAAATTTCCGCTATATTTCTTAACGATTCTACCAGCAAACCTGTATTACTTTCGGATACTATTGTTTTTTTTTTCTAAAATACTATATAAATAGTTTAGATGTTCCAACGATAAACGGTTTTTTGGCTTATTCCAAGCGCCACCAAACCAACTCGCTACGAAACATTTTTCTTCCCGAGTTTTTGACGAATTTTCACTAGTTTTTATTTCTATTAATATCGTTTCAACTTTCCCATTTTTCAACCACAATGCAATTATAATTTTAATCCGAAAATGTTCTTCAAACTACTATGAAACTATGAAATTTTACATGTGTATTCTGAAGGGATAAGAAAAAACAATTTCTCTTCCCACGCCGCTATACATTTTTCCTGTTATTGTTATCAATTATGTCCTGATCGTAGCGTAATGCTTACAATAAGCGTTTCTGGACGTTGTATAATTGCCCGCATGTCTTCGATACACAAGCCCAGAGTCGAGATATGAATTCTATTAAAAATTTGCGAAGCGAAAAATTATGTGAAAAAATTTTACCAGAGATTTACCAAATTTTATATATTGGCTTAGTGTTCTCGCAACTACTGCTTAACTGGGCCGAGAATGCTGTAAAATGTCATCTTAAACGGCATATTGACGCATCTCACAAGCTCATATAGGGCAGACATGAGCTGCAATCAGTGAATCAGTGAATTACGATTCCGCCAACTGACACTTTTGCCGAAACTAGAGTGCAGTCATGGTGCTGGAGCGACTCGGGCTGCTGACGATTATGCTGATTATTTAAAAATATGGTTCTGGAATGTGATATCTCCTGTTATCTCTCACAAACTCTTTGTAACATCTTCAGCTCATGGAGCTCAGCGGCAAGCACAACTGGTCCAAATTTGTATTAAAAAAAAAAAAATTATTTAATCCACATATTCTTCACATCTATATGATGTGAAGAATGTAGACGGGTCTTTGAAAATATTGATTTTTGTATAATTGGCGGGTGCTTGAGGCAAAAAGTGGTAATTTTGAAAAAAGTCATTCTTTTACTGATAGAAAATGTTTAAATTAATTTACAGAATGTTGTTTTGAAGATACAGTAAATTATATTGATTGCTAATTTCAAAAAGTGTATCTCAAATTGAAAGGAATGACAAAGGAAACATATTTTTTTACGTAAGGCAACACTATAAATGCAACATATGAAAAATAGTTTATTGTGAAAATAATATGACAACACTGTTTTTACAATACGATAAGGATCTGTCAGTTGAAATTTTGTTTCTTCTGAGAGTTCTGAGAGTATTGTCAGCATGATGGACGTTGTTATTGTAAAATTTTGTTTTGTACTCCTGCTTGAGAAAAGAGAGAAAGAAATACAGAGAGACTTCATAACTTTTTAACAATTTGCTTCATGAATATAAATCTAAACATTTTCTACACTTTTTTTTCACTTTTTTTCTTTGAATGATAAGGATGTGCAAATTTTTTGTCGCGAGATTTCTTACGCGCGTAATTAGTATATAGGTTCCTATACATACACTTTGCTGATTTGTTTTAATTAAACCGAGCGAACAATGAAATAAACCATTTTTCGTCTAAGAACATTATCAGTGAATTTATACTAAAGTGCCACTAAAAAGTTTACACATTTAAAATTACGGAAGTTTTATTTTACTCGCATATACAGAATATACACTATCATAAAATATGTTGATTAAAAGAAATTTAAGCGGTCGAAATCTTCTGCTGTTAACAATGCTTTTATTTATTACAGCCGCAAAAACAAGTGAGAAATATATATATAAATATATGTATAGGTATATATATATATGTGCATATACTGTGCAATTAAACTGACTACATACCCTATCAATCTTAATGCAACAGATTTTTACGAATTCCACATTTGAAAAATAACTATTCCTTGCATGCAGGCCATTTTTCCCTTTTTCTCAAACGGAAATGGCGTAAAAAGTAAAAAATTTTTAACTGCTCAGTTTCTTTCAACAATTATTCCTAGAATTGCTATGTAAATGGCACGTATCACTAGCAATGAAAAGCCCGGTGCTTGCAGGAATAAAGATTTCTTTTATCAACTTAAATACTTAACTATTAGACGACGTCTCCCCCGATCCATTTACCTAATTGCCCATAGTGTCAAAATTCTCTCGTTATAAATCAAGGGCAGTATTTGAAAAAAAATAACTAAAGTTGCTTAACTCTTTAGAAACACATAATCTTTTGGTGAGAAACTTCGGATCCCCATGAATAGCCGAATGGGTAAGAATCATGACTGCCAAGTCAGTGTCCGGGGATTCAAATCTCAGTGCGGTAGAGTTTATTTTGGTCGTAGCTATAGTGGCTGTTCAATCGCTAAAGGCTCGATCGATCGATTAGGCTGTGCGGGCCCTATAACCATCATGGTTCTATCTTCCTTCCTGATTTCTTTCTGCTCCGCCGCCCGGGGGCCCCCCCACTGTTTTGAGCATAAGAAACAACATATCAAAATCGTGTAAAAAAAGTCAGAAAATGTAAAATTCTACAATCAAAGACAATAAAATCTGCATAAAAGAGAACTACTTAACTGTATTTAATTGTTGTTTCAAAAACAAATGAGAAATTTATGGAAGAATGCTTCTACATAATAGAAATATAACGTTATAGCATTTCCATGAATCCACCTAACAATATTCTTGTGAAAAAAGAAGATCTCTTTGCGTACATAAATAAAAAAAAATAATATTCTTCTTAAGCGGAAAACTCGTTCAAGTCTATTATATTAAAATTTGGATGGTGTATGATAATTAATTGCGCAACGTATAAATCGTTTTTATTTGTACCCTCACCTCATGATCTTAGTAATTTGGGATTTTTTTTAAACAACAAAATGGGGGACTTTTTTACGTATATAAGTATATAGTTTTTCTGTTTTACTATTAAGCATACGACTACAAAAAGATGGTCCGTTCATCATCAATAATCTGTTTGTGGTCGTTATCTCAATAAATTAAGAGATATCATTGTGAACTGTTTCATTGAAATCATTTCGTGATTCGATCATAAATTCAGATGTTTTTATTTCCTTTTTTTCACATTGCAACCAGTTATTGATCTCATTGTATGATGATGGTAAATGCATTCACCTATATACATATATGTATATATATATATATATGCATATATACGATCTTAACTTGATTCTTGTCAAATTGTTTGATAATGTATGAAACAAGTTTCTTGTCGAGTTAAATTAGTGATTAGAAGATATTTTAATCATTCCAAACAGACAATTGTCAGTCACATAATATCTGCTTCAGTACATAAAGCAACGTTTCAAATTTCAAGCAAAAATGCATTTAAGATTTTATAAATATGTAGGGAAAGTGGGGTGAGGATACAAACGCTTACAATCTAACAATATTATTTCAGATGCAAACGATGCTAATGTGAATACGACAATCGTGTCAGAAAAATTAGGTACGTATATGTGCTTATGCGGATTCTTTATAATAAAAAAATTTGAAAATCGTGTATAACTATTTTGAAAGGAATTAAAATAAAAATGCAATGAAAGCAGCTTAGTGGACTTTATTGGGCCCTCGTAATGTCAGGGGTTCCTCAGAGAACTCACCTTGAACTTATTCTATTCTATTTGTACTTTTTATAAATGATCTCTCATACGTGATCAAATCATCTAATATATTAATGTATGCAGATGACGCGAAACTTTATAAGACTGCTCACGCAGAACTACGCTTGAGGAACCTTCAAGTTGATTTAAATAATTTGATTACTTGGTGTTTGGTGTTTGGTTAATGACTTAATATTGAACTTGGACAAATGTAAGAAAAATGACATTTTCCAGGCGGACAGTGTATCAAACACAATATTTTATTAATACATATAAATTGGAACTTGCAGATCCGACTTGTGACTTAGATGTGCTTTTTTGTGATAGAAAAGCCCGCTTTAACCCAAGTATTTATTCCACTGTCAATAAAGCAAAATCCACATTGGGATTCATTCAGCGCTAGGCTCCTGAATTCACCGACCCATATATATTACGAAGAGACTGTATATGACGTTAGTTAGACCAATATTCGAGTATGCATCGGAGGCATGGTCTCCGTCCTATCGCTGTTACGTGAGTGCGATTGATTCGGTCCAAGAACAATGCTTGCTTTTTGCGTTGAGGAATTTATCACTGGACCTTCCCACTATATGAAGATACACAACTACTCAGATCATTATCCACTCTGGAGAAACACCGATTTATACTTGATATCTTATTCTTGGTAAAATTGATCAATGGAGTTATCGACTCGAAAGCCCTCTTGAGTGAAATCTGTATTAATGCTCCCGTGCGATCCTCTAGAAACTATCAGTTGTTAAAGCTTAGTGAATATGAAAGCAATTATGAATTATTTACCCCACTTAGGATTCTGAGCAATAACTCAAACAGGGTTTACAACCTGATCAATATATCTGATGATGATACACACAATTAGCATAAAATTAACTCTTCTAAGGACTCAGTAGCTTAATTCAGCTGATGTGTAAGCAGTTGAATTGAAAAAATGGATAGATAAATAAATAAGTAAAAAAATCAATCTATTAGACGACTGGTTTAGGGTACCTAAGACTCGACCTTGCCCGGCGACAACCTTTGATATTTCAAAATTGTGTTTTTTCATATTCGAATTATCAATTTTTCAGAATATATTAAACGGGATAAAGTCAAGAAATGGCGATTGCTCATTCCTGTCCAAACATAATTTCTTTTGGTTTCTATTTATTGTTTTTATTATCACAAATTCCTTTGCTTCATTTGCCAGACATGAAATCATTTTAGACGCTTTCATGCAACATGATCTAATTCTCTTTATTCCGTTTATCAAATATCAGAAAAACTAATTACTAATGCATATACATATATGATTGTTATGTATCCATGCAAATATTTTATATTTCCTTCCACATGCATTGAAAAGAACACAAGTATTGTTGTTGCTAAAAAAAGTCTTTGCGCATTTGTTTGCGGAAAGAGGAAAAATATTAAATGTAGAAATAAATTCCTTCCGCTGAAAATGATTGCTTCATAAAATGTGCCTGACTCACGAAATTCACCCGAGATTGCGGGTACAGATAATTGAGACATTGATGTTTGAACGATATATGGTTGACGTAAGGTAAGAATAAGTTGTCGTTCAGTTTATATCAAAGTTTTAAGAGATGGATGTCATTTACAGCATTGCGTTGTGTCTGTGTCTCTCGCTAAGGACATAAATAATTTTTTCTTACATAAGGAATAAAGTTTGTTAAGTCATATATTTATCATTTTGTTCAATAAAATCTTGCCAGTTTTTAGGCAAATTTCATTATCCCCTCCTCATAAAATTTCTGATCTTTTGAAACAGAAGAATTTTCTATATACAAATTTACATTGTTGTCCGAATCGAAAGTTTTACCAGATCAAGAATTTTGCAGAGAACGAAAGAGATAGTAGTAGTCTGATGGTGCAATGTCAGGAATATTTGATGGATGTGATAATACATCTCAGGCAACTTTCTATGGATTTTGATGAGTGGGTGAGGAAAGAAAACACAATTCTTTCATAATTCCAGCATATTGACAGGAAAACGTTCTTTTCGTGGATATCCGGTTTTTGTCTGGCTCAGGATGGCTCAACGTGTTCCGACTCTAATCTATTCCGTTGCTAATTTTTGGTCCATCCGTAAACACATTAATTCTAGCTAAGCAAATGAGAAAAGTATAGTCGGCCACTTGACGATTATTCACAATAAGGCCGCCCTACTAAATTTCATCAAACGGGCTTAGATCGATTCACAGTTACTTTCCGAATATTTCAGCGCAGATATTTTTCAGTTCCATCGAAAACTTGAATCCAACAATGGTCCTGGCAGATTTCTTTATAAAGCTTTTATCTTTTAATACAAGCCGTGGAACCGCAAAGTTGCAAAAGTAGAGAGAAAGAGTTCAAATTTGTTGCATGGACTTTTCAGTCAATTCAACTGATAATGTCCATGAATTGATAATCTTTGGGAAAAATATATCTAAGCCTGTTTATGAAAATTGGATGTAAAGATTTAAAATTCTTTTCGTATAGTTAAAAGTCAATGGCAGTATGAAAAACTCTTCGTTTGGGTCGTGAGTGTTTCCCGATACTTTTTTTTTTAACAATATTTATAAAAACTTTTCCCAAATATTTTTAAATATAAACACTTCCTACGTCTCAACGAACGTTCCCTAAATATTTTGTATTTTTTAATGTTATGGGAAAGAATGTTCGATCTGTCGATCCGTTGATCGTGTGTGCATCAGAATTTTGCTCTTCAATGAGACTAATTATTTATGCTTTGGTGAGAAATACAATTTACGATGTCTTAGACTATTGAATATAGTATTAAATAATATAAACTTTGCTGATCGATGGCTAAATAAAACAATGTTTTTATAAAGAGAATATATTTAGAAAATTATATAAAAGAATTCTCCATTTGTATGTGGTTCGCCTTATTACTCCTTTAAAATCTTACGAAAATCCCCACACATTTGATCAAATGAGTCGCCATGAAAGCCAGCCGATACATATTCATGGTGCTTTACTTGCCGGCATCGCTGGTAACTGGGGGATAAAATAAGCAACAATTCGCCGAGCATTCCAAGGAAACGGGGATTAACACTAAAATGCCATAACGAAGTAAGATTATGATAACTTGCTTTTAAAAGATTATGCAAGCAGAATATTTGCGGAAAGCAAAGATAAGTCGAGTCGGAGAGTGAGTGATTGTAATATTCGAACGAATATCGTAACATAAAGCATTGTAAATATAATAATTTGTGAATAGATTTTCGTAAAAATAAATAAATAAAGCCTCTGCTAGTCCAAAAGTACACAATTCAGTGATACGAACTTAATTTTGGAAAAATTTGGATACAGACATATGTTAAAATTACAAATAGGGAAATATTACAGAAAGTAACAGAAAGTTTTAGTCGATTCAATCATCATTTTTAAATATAATTATAAGGAGGCATTTTTTTCCGGGCTGAGTAGCCGAGTGGGCAAAAGATCTCGACTAACAACTCAATGGTCGTGGGTTCGAATGTCAAGTGCGGCAGGGTTTTCATACAATACATTCGATAGGTTTAGATGATGCCCCAGTTCTTCTGCCATACTTTAGTCTTAGAATTTATTTCTTTGGCTATTAATTAAGAACACAAAAAATAAATGTAATTTTTGCTGATATCCTCCATTTATATATATGTATAAAAGCGAGATTCATTAGTAATAGGATCGATCTGGGTGTTGACGAATTCAGGGATTGTGTTTCTTGAACTATACGTGTGAACTTATTTTACTTCCTAATTATTCTTGCTAGTGTTGTATTATTCTAAAATAAGAGCAATGGAAAGAAGAAAACCGTAAATAATTGAAAAAAGAAATAAAGCAGATGTGTGCGCTGATCTTGCAAATATCCCCAATGAACGAGTATTGTGTAATTAGAAGAAGTTAATACGATTTGGGAACGACAAGAGTAGAAATACATTTGTGTGTAGATACCGCAGGCAATGGTCGTGCAATGTGCATGTCGTGATATTAAAAGTGTAACGGTACACTTTGTATGCATACATTTTCTATTATAATGGGACTGTTTACATTATATGTTAGATGTTCGCAACCTTGCTTAGAAATGTAACTAACATCAATTGTTGTGTTGAGCTCTCTCAAGTAAGGGTATAAGTGTCAAGTTTATCGATTTCATCAGGCAAGAAAGCGAACGGCATTATGTTTACTCTTAAGCTTAAGTTAATTTTAAGCTGACCGAGAGTTAATAAATCTGATGGAATTTTCATTGAGCATTTCTGAGGATAATTAAATGATGTGTGATAAGTTTCTCACTTGCGGTGGTGCCACGGGAAAAGCGACTTCGCTGGATGCCCAATACATGTACAATGCTTGAAAAAAGTAGATAGATATTGGATTTATTAGTTTAAGATGTATTTAGCTAAATAGAGTAAGCAATTAAACACACTCTATGACAAACTTAGATAATTAGATAATTACTGATGATTCTCTTTTCTCTTTCTTCTTACCTGCTTTTGTTAAGGAAATGTAAAAGTGTTCACGGTGGCTTCAGACCAGACTGATGGTTACTTGCGTTTTATAAGATCGGCAAAAGTCTACGATATAGAGGTATGATCAAGGACGGAGGTTTGTAATTTCCAAGTAATGTATTTGCATGTGTATAAAGAGATGTAATTTTATTTTATAAATTTTTATTTTCTTTAAAATATCTTTTACTTATTACAATATATTCGTATTTCACTAAATGTTCACATGTTTGTTATACCCTACACCACTTCTCGTACAGGGATGTATGCAATCCTCAAAAGGAATTGAAATCGATTCATCTTTCATTATACCAAAAAGCGTTTGTGAAACGACCTAAGCTTAGTTGTCCGTGCGTCCGTCCGTCGACCTTTTTCTCTTGTGTCAAATGGCATATACCGACTTGCTTTAAGTCAAGGACGGATACTATTGACAATGGTTCGGGTCGGATCACTTTTTTAACCATCTTCCTATATAACATCTTATTTCGAATAGTAGTGTGGTGTAGACCATTTAATGGATACTTGTTTTGGAATAGTTTATTCAATAGTGAAATGATAAACTGATCAATCGGCCGCTTTACATATATATTTACATTAAAAATTGCGAATTTTTTCATCTGTCATTTTTATTAATAAAAAAAAAAAAAAAAAAAATAAAGAAATAAAAGGAAAAAATGCATAATATATTGATGAGCGAAAATAACGGAATAGATTGTGCCCATGCATATGTGTACGAATGGCATTCGCATTTAATTAATATTTCTAACAATTCCATTCATTTGTTCCAATTTTCACATGTGTGTTTTTTTGCCTGATTTATTTTTTTTTTTACTATCAGCTACTAAATCATTTTATGTATTTTTTTCCTTTAATATTCTGTACATATTTGTTCCACATGCTTTATATTGGATTGTTTGAAGAGTTTCGACTCTTTCCCGAGAAACGTTCGTGTCAAACTAAAATAATCTAATCGAGTAATGATTTTCGTCATTACGAAATGATGGTTTTGGTCTTGGCTTAACGTATTTCATTGTAATTATCGCTTCATTCATAATATTCTCTAATAAGATCCACCTGAAGGCCCGAATGGACAAGGTATCTGGACTAACAACTCCTTAGTCATGGGATCAAATCTTAAGTGCGGTAGAGTTTTCAATAAAGCCGATAGATAGTTTTAGAATGCTATAATACTGAGATAAGTGGGATTTTAGAAAAATATTGATTTGAAAACTATGTCGTGGACTTGAAGTGAAACAAAGGCAATCTTAGCGCTCTAACATTGTGATACAGCACTGATTACAACTAACTTTGAATTCGTTCATCAGTCAATTTGTTGACGTTCGTTTCAATATTTTCCCAAAATGATTTCATAGTGAACAATTTCCCGCCAATGTCTCCAGCAATATCGCGACCAAAGCGATTGATTACATTTCTTTTGTTTCCATTGCGGCATATTCAAAACGACGGGACGCATGGAAAGTATTAATCGAAGATTACCCGAATGTATGATCGATAATGCACTGATACGGTTATGAGCGATGCTTATCGATCTTAAACGATTTTTCCATGCCATTATTAGGCTTTAATGGTAAATTAGCCACGACTAACTCATAATGATGTCCCTTCATAAAACATATATTGCTTCTGTTTTAGTAAGGAGGCATTAAATGCCTTAAATGCCTATTTTTTCCTTGATGATGACGATGCGAATATTAGCAAAAGGTATATGGTTCAAGAAATCATGCGAAATAGCTGGCACAACACAGTGATATGATATTTCTGCAAATCGACGGCAAAACTTTGTAAACAACCCAACAATTTATACATCCGGTTAAAGCGCATATTTACTGCTTGTACACTATTTCATGTTATAGAACATTTGAAGAGCACGTATACATATGCATTCGCTTATGTATGACATGTACTTTTAAATTTTTATAAGCCGCATGATCTGAATGTTCAGATGATTACATCCTCTACCATATAAATAAATACGAATTTCTAGAGATTACGACCGCTTTTTGTTAATGCCTTTTTATACCTACCACTGGAGAAGGCAATATATTAATTTTACAATCTCATTTGTAACATTCCGTCATTGAAATCCGATTAATTGAAGATAGGCCCGCATTTTTGATAAGCGTAAAATTGATTGTGAATCGATTTAGGCATTTAGTCATTTTCGTCCTTCCCCCTATTATTACAATGTTCTAAATCGTATAGAAGGAGGAAGTTAGAAATTCCCTAATAATATATAATTAAGATTTACGAATAAAATTGAAAAGTTTTTATGGCCCGTTTACGAATGTGGTCAATAATTTACATAATTGAAAGAATCGGTAAAAATTTCAAACAATTTTTCTTATAATCGAAATATTCTGCGAAAGCTTACTTTCACTTCACTCGTCCCTATCGAAGGAGACGATGCAATCTTTATGCTTTATATGATGATTGTTCGTTGTGAAATGATGTCAATTTTTTGTTTGTAAGATTTTTGTGTATAGGGTGTGAATCTTAACGAAGAAAACTTTACACTATTATTATTATATCCTACAACAGTTGCTGCACAGGCTACATTGAGTGAGGAAGAGCTGTATACAACGCCCAGAAAGATTTCATTCATCTTTTATTATACTAATCGAGTCAGAAAGGAATTCTAAGCTTGTCTGCCCAATGGTCTGTCTGATGTATTCTTTTGTTCAATTTACTCGTCACAATTTTGAGATATTTTAGTCAAATTTAGTGCATCGGCGTGCCTTGGGCCACGGGGCGGAAGGCTTATTGCAACCATTTTTTCGACCAATCGCCATATAAAATATTGTATTATTGCGAATTTCGCGACAAAACTCACTGAGTGATAGTATTACGACATTCTAAGTTGATGTGAAAAACTCGGGTCCAATGGGGCAATTTTTTGAACGACCCATCATGCAACTGTTTCTTCGACAGCTGAATCTTTATATGTTAAAGGGTTCAATTTTTAGTAATTCTTGGTGAAAATTGCTTTTTAATAATAATTTGACATAAAAATTAATCCTAGTGAAGAGGGATCGCGTAGATGTGTTTTTTCCTTGTTTTTTTAGATTTCACCTTATGTAAGGGTTGTAATGAAACATACGCAGTCATATGCCAAAAAGGGTTAACTTTTCATATATTTTATGATGAAAATTTTTCTCTAGTAAATCAAGCATAGGAATTTGGATCACATAGATGTATTTCTTATACCGCGCCCCATATATGGAGTTGTCATCAAAGCAAGCTTTTCTCTTACGACAAGATCTATTTTGTGATTTGTTATCATCATCATACAGTAACCGAAAAAGAATAATAGAATCTTTAAGTTTGCTTAATTTGGACCAAGGTAGTTAACTTTAGATCTTAGAAATAGATCTACTTTTTTAGGGGCTCTTATGAAAGGAGACATTTTTGAACTTTTTTATAATGCAAACGAAAGAAAAATGATGAAATCTATGACAAGTAAAACAAATTTGCGAGACACGAACCAAGTTAGTTGACGTCTTGCCCATCCTTCAATATAAGGATGGCCATGAAAAGTATGGCTTCACATAGAAAAAATTATGTATAATTTTTGGTATATTATCATGAAAACGACTGAATGACGGTGTTAGGCGTAGTGGTGTAGTGTATGAAAACGTCGGCCTTGCCGGTCTGTAATGTTCTTACTTGCTTTTTTATTCAGGAAACTTAAAGCGTGTTTTGTATCGACCTCCTGTGACGCTGTTACAGCGACGTTTCATAAGTCTATCGAAAAGAATTTCTTAAAAGCATGTCACCGCTGATAAGAGGAATTTAAAATTTCATACATTAAATATTTTTAAAAGTCTTTTCTTCAAGAACATTTTTCCACCACATCAGACTTCGAAAGCCAAGTAGTTTTCTTATTCTACTTTATAGATAAATATATAAGTGATTTTTTTTTTTTTTTTTTTTTAATATTCTTTATTTCAAATTTACGCAAACATCATTAGAAGAGTATTTAGTACTCGAGCAGAATAGGCTTTCTTTGCTTGACATAACAAAAGCTTCCACGAATGAGACTCATCCGCGTCGCCAAGTTATCTTTCCTATAAATGTCATCTCACTGCCTCAAAAGCTAAGTTAGACGACACTAAGTTTGCTGGCAGTAATAATTTTCAAAACTTTAGCCCCAGCGTTCGCAACCGATTGAATCTTTACCGTATCCGTTTTTTCCTTCGAAATAATGTGTAAATTTCACAGCAGATTTATTTCTGGTGTTAAAGTTCTCGCAGATATTAGGCGGGAAGTATATTTTATAATAAGGTTATCGCATTCGCCTTCTGGCTACAATTTATTATCCACCCATTCAAATATATGTTAAAAGTAAAAAGTATGTCGATAATTGGAGACGTGTTTATTCCTAGTTCGGCATAACATACATGTGACATACTTGTAGAGACTCTCTTAACTCTCTCACAACTGTGATTGTATCCTAAGAATGCTGATGATAAACTCTACTTGTGTATTCCATTTTTTTTCGGTCATGCTACAGCCTACCGATGCTATATGTATAGTACACAGTTTTATTTATTCATTCATTTATTTTTTTATTCATGAGCTCGCTGTTAATTCATTCATTGATTCGCTCATTTATTCATTCCTTCGCTTATTCAATCGTTCATGCGTTTATTCATATAGGCATTCGTTCATTCAATCACCCATTCGCTCATATCTTAACTGGTTCATCAATTCGTTCATTCATTTATTCATTCACGCTTTCATTTTTTCCTTCCTTCGTTCATTCATTCACGCATTCACGCATTCATTCATTCTTTCGTTCTTTCATTTATTCCAGTTTATTCATTTATTCATTTATCCACATAGTAATAAATCCTCATATTTTATTGAATTTAATTTCTCTGGTTACAGTAATGAGAACATAGATAGCCTATGCTCGCGACTAGTTATAAGTGAACTGTTCTTCTTAACTATACATTCAATATTTCATGCGGAATGCCGAATTATCTTCTATCGCTTGATATGTACGCCGCGAACTTTGAAGAAGCTTCTCGCATTTTTGCTGCGGTATAGTATACCAAGCTTTCTTAATATTATTTCAAAGTCAATTGTTATTCTTAAAGATTTTTGCCTAATTTTTACGAGATTCTAAAAATTTTTAACGCGATAAAGATTGGAACTTTGTTTGGACTTGGACATTGCAAAGCTCCAATATTTGCATTTAAAAATGCTTTGGATTATTAGCTTGGATAAAAATCCTGTTTACTTGCATACAATGGAAACCCTTGAGGGTTCCATAGTATTTTTTCAAAAATCCAAACACACCTGCAACCTGATCATTTTACCTTCTATCCCCTCTAGTAAATTCTATTCCAGATCACTTTACTGTTCTCACTATCATTTTTTTCTCACCACTTTTTGGGCATAGTTTATATTGTAAGCTTGACCTGTTCACGTTTGTTTGCATGGTACGAACCCTCTCATCAGTTCTAGCATACGACAAATGGTTGGGGAAATTATATATATGTTAATAGAAAAGTCTTCTTTTTGTCTATCAAAAAGTTCCAAATTATTTAAGCGTCTTCTTATCGATCTGCTTGTCACACTTAGACAAAATTTCTCATTTATTTTATTCGTGATTCTTTTTCGTACGTTTTAATTCATCTCATATGCTTTTGGGGTTAATCGCTTTGTCGTTCGAAGCAGCTGTTTCACTTTAGCTTGCTCGATTTTTAATCAAGTAAATAGCATCGTCGATTTCATTTGAAACTTTTTTTGCACGGTTTTTTGAGAATATATTTAAAGTTTTTTCATTTTACACGATTTTTTAATGTTGTGGAGCATAATCGCAGATTTATCATATATCGCATATATTTTTTTACCCGAGTTTTTTTTTTGTATGGCCTTCTAAGGATCATATCAACCGTATAAAAAAGAATTGGGTATATATATTGAAGTATTCCACACAAAATGTAATATTAAAAAATCATAAAAGACAGACAGATGGACAGACACGCTTGAATCAATTCATAATTAATAATGAAAGATGGGTGATCTATCTCAAGTGTTTCTAGGTTTTTGCTTACATCCGCACAAACTTACTGTACCCTTGTACCATAAGTGACGTTATTGAGTATTTATTTAAGCACATTACTACATAGTTTACTAAATGCCATAACAGTTAACATCATCAATGTAAGTAAGTCATTATTGAGGAGAAACCAATCAATTAGTTTGAAGATCACCAATAATATGAGTAATGACGCAGAATTGAGAAATGTCTAAAGAGTTGTGAAACAAAGCGTTAGAATCTTTCACTAAATGAGAATAATTTTATTTATATCTTTGTACGTCTGCTTATTAATTCCAAGATGATAGACCTTATTAATGTTTGTTTGACAGCGTTTTCTAAATATTTTAGAGCGAAAGAAAGAAAGTGTTGCTAATAATTTTGCAGAGACTGTTGCTTTTCAAAATTGTTGTCTTATCTTTTAAGTATTTTTTTTTTTTTTTTGAATAAAATTATTATTAATCTTTTTAGGTAACAACTTTAGGTCTTTTCGAAAAATGGAAAGGTGGCGATATGAGTGGCCCTGGCGGAGGTTTTAAAATTAATCTTTTGCGCGAAGCTATCAAACCATTGAAAGATGATGAAAATATGCTTATTATGTTTACCGATAGGTATACTCTTCTGCATATCTAATTAATTATGAATAAATATTATAAACGCATGTTGTATTTTTCTATATAGCTACGATGTTGTATTCACTTCCTCTTTAGATGCCATTGTTGAAAAGTTCAAAGCTACCGGAGCAAAATTACTTTTCTCAGCTGAAAAATTCTGTTGGCCTGATAGCAGTTTAGCTTCCCACTACAAAATATTGGAAGCTAATGCCTCACCTTATTTAAATTCAGGTGGCTTTATAGGATATGCGCCGGAAGTCTGGTCTCTGCTGCAGAAACCCATTGAGGATACTGCCGATGATCAACTTTACTATACGAAACAGTATCTCGATGAAAAACAAAGAGAAAAATTGGGGATGCAATTGGACACGCATTCGTCGGTATTTCAAAATTTGAATGGAGCGAAAGAAGATGTCAAATTGGATGTTGATTTGGAAACAAACGAAGGTGTATTGAAAAATATCAATTTCCTAACAACACCAAGTGTTGTGCATGGCAATGGCCCAAGCAAAGTGGAATTGAATGCATTTGCGAATTATTTAGCGAAAACTTTTAATCATAACTGTTTAATCTGCCAAGAGAATCGCATTGAATTGGATGTAAATTAATACTATTGGATGCTCTACTGCATAGCGATTAAAAATTTTACATTTAATTTCTTATTTTTTTTTTAGGAAAATCATTTACCTGTAATTACTTTGTCCATTATGATTAATAATGCGGTGCCGTTTTTCGATATGTTTTTAAAGAAAATTGAAGACTTAAATTATCCAAAACGACAAATACATTTATTTATATACAGTGGTGTTGAATATCACGACGCTATGGCGAAATCTTTTTTGAAAGCTTGGGAAAATAAATATAAAAGTGCTAAAATTGTTTTGTCAACTGATCAATTAGATGAACGACGAGGCAGACAATTGGCCTTGTAAGTTCGAAATATATTTTGTTTACCTCGAATATGGTCTAATTCATGAATTTCAATTCAAATAATAGACGACAAGCCATACAAAAACAAAGTGATTACGCTTTCTTTATTGATGCTGACACTCATATCGATGACAATCAAGTTTTGAGAGAACTTTTAATACTAAATCGGTAAATATTTACATTTAGTCTTCGTTCAAATTTATGAATTTGCATATGGTCATGGTTTATATCATTCATGCAATTCTAATAACAGACAATTTGTGGCCCCGATCGTAACTAAACATAACGAATTATGGAGCAATTTCTGGGGCGCATTATCCGAAAGTGGTTACTATGCACGATCGCACGATTATGTTGACATCGTCAAGGGAGATATTGTGTAAGTATATAAAAAACTTATATGTACAGCTTATCGATTAATTTAAGGAAATAGCATAGGCTTTCACAATAAGAACGCGACGTCGCATTAGAATCATATGCCAAATATGTCCAGTTGTTTCCAATTTTTTTTCTCAAAAATTCAAAACAACCCTTTTGTATACATTATTGTTTAATTTTGCATTTCTCTGTCTATTCGCAAGTTAGCATTGTGTGAAGTGAATACGATGATTATTATTTTTAAACCCAGCCGCGAGCGACAAGATATATTCACGAGAGGCCATGGAAACGGCTTAATTAATATAAGACTTTTAGTCGACTATGCCAGATATGTCTGGTGTGCGAATAGCTCATCTTTTTAAAAAAAGAGGGAAAAGAAAACTAAAACTTCTTTATGTTCTATTTCTAGCCACAGCCACAGAGTTTTAAAATGGGCATGGCACATTCCAAACCACGAGCATACAGAAAAAAAAAATTGTAATTTACAATTTATACTTGACATCGATCTCGGTATAAATACAAATATTGTACTGCGAGCGCAGAATCGTAAGCAATTCTCCCCGTCTGTTTGTAATATCTACGATTTGGAAATTCCCTAAAGTATTTATTGTTCCATAGAGGCCCTTTGATTAATTTTCTTTCTCCAAATTATTCTTACATGCTTTCTTAATATCTCCTATTCTTATTTCTTTATATATGTAGATATGTACCTCGTTGATTATTTGGAATCAATTGCATTGGTATAAATGCAATACGTTTCATTTATATATATATAAAGGCGTAATGCTAAAGCCCCGTTGTAATTTTTTTTTTACTACTTCTTCTGTTTTTTTATTTCCCTAAAAAATACTGCACAATATTTAAGAGTATTTCAGAGACCCCTTGTAGCCAGTCGAATTTTTTATGTGACTTGAAAATTTGGTTTTTCGTTAAGATATCTTTAAAATTTGCCATCGAACATTAGAGGGACAGATGAACAGGCAGGCTTAAGTCGATTCTAAACATAATTCTGGTTCGATACGTATAATGAAAGGTGAGTTTATTTTAAGCTTTTCTGTGTGTTAGATACATCCGCACAAATTTAATATGCTTGTATCTCAAACGGTATAGACTATAAAAATGGTTTTAACGAATTTTTTTTCTACCAATAGCAAATGTTTAGATTATATATATATATATTTTTATATATATATATGTAATATATCTGCTATATATAATATACCAAATATAATGTATATAATATTATTAGGTAATCGTCAGTCATTATTGGACTTCGGTCGATTTCAAGACCCAAACTGAACTTGACAAGTAGAGTTTGAAATTATGCGATAAGCATCCGGGAAAATTAGATAGCAGATAGATGAATACAATGTTTTAGCTTCGATTGTTCATTTATTAGGACATCTGTGACGAACTGCTGGCGCCAACCTGACTTAAAAATATCAAATCTATAATTGGAAAACATTGCTTGAACATGTACTATTTATTCTATGGTTGAAACGGTAGATTTAGTAAAAAACTAGACACAATGTCGTGACGTGGCCTGAGAAAGACACAATCAAGAACGGGTGACTCTATGTAATGTTGTCTTTGCATAGATGAGTAAAACGTTTCATTACATTATTGCACATATTCAGTTATTTACGTATGTAATAATAGACTTTGTAACGAAATTGGGTAAAGAAATGCAAAGCGCAAAAGCAGTGCAGTTCGCATACGCTTTCATCACTAAATAAGTTCATTGAATAATTGCGATGCTTTTCCTATAATAATCTACTTTCAAGTACATAAGATTGACTTTAAAGGAAAACAGAAAAAAAAAAAATTTTTTTGTTACATTTAGCTTTTAATGTATATTTAAACAAATTGTATTTCTTTAAAACATCGAAAATTAATTTAAAACTAAAAATTAATCATAACATAGTCGGTACGAAAACCACGACGATCAATAGCGTAAATATTATCAGCTTGACATTCGTAATAACCTGTGAATATAGAAAGGGCGAATAGTACTCGTATACATATTTATGGCAATAATTGGTAAAAAATTAAAATTTCGAGATAGTCTAACCAACACACAGAAACTGTAAAAATCTATTAATTTTGTTCGTAAATAAAAATTCGTTTACATTCGTAATACGAGAATGAATTAATCAAACGAACTGTCCTTGATTATGATCGGATTTTTGTTCCTTTCACATTTCAGCGACTCTCTGATAAAGTCTCCCTCATCAGGGTAATGATGTAAGAGGGAAATTGATCTGATAAAGTCTCCCTCATCAGGGTAATGATGTAAGAGGGAAATTGATTCAAGTACATTTTTTTTGAAAAGCCCCATTACGTCACTATGACAATGATTATTATTATTAAAAATTTTATCTAAATTATGTCATCCTTTTCCGTTAATATCATTTAGAAGAAGAAAAAGGAAGAATTTCTAACATAAGGAGCGTCTTTAGCTGCGCAAGGATGGATTTTATTATTTTGTATTTCCATTGCTTTTATTGCTTACCAGCGTCCATTTGCGTGGTTGGATCAATTTCCATTTTTGATTTAATTATATCGCTATCGATATGGGATTCATGCACCTGTATGAACGATTAGATAAGAGAAACAATAAAATATTAAGAGTATTTCCAAAGGGTTTCTTTTGTAGGTGCAAAGTTTTTTTTTTTTTTTTTTTTTAACAATCAATCGTATATGAAAAAGTTGTTTCACGATAAGCATAGATTGTGTGTGTGTATGTGTGTGTGTGTGTGTTTTTTTTTTTTTGTAAATCATTTTACCTGAAAAAACCGATGTTGATATAATTCAGCACCATCCTTAAACCAAGTTATGGTTGGACGTGGGTTACCTAACAAAAGAAAACAAAGTCAAGAATATGATTATATTTCATGGCTTTTCGTATTCATCATATTGATTACCTTGCGCCATGCAAAAGAAAGTAATTTTACGACCCAACGTATAGTCCAATTCAAAATGTGATGATTTTATGATTTTGGCACCCTATCGAAGAAATGCAATGAAATGCAAGGCTTTTACGATAATATTGATGTCAGTGTTTTTTTTTTTTTTTTTTTTTTCTTGTTGGTTTATTTTATACTCACATTCTCATGATCGTAATAGTTGACCGCGTCTGGTGTTCGATGTTGTATTACTACTGGTTTTTTACCGGTATAATTTCGTCTCAGTACACCACGGCCCACAGTAGTTCCTAGTTTTCGTGTAATTTAAATAAGACAAAAATGAAATAACTAAAAAAAAAGAAATTCTCTTTAGAATTTGCTTTACTTTGCGCCTCTAAGTTTCCGCAATTTAAAATTAATATTATTATTAAACTCAAAACAGTTCTGCTGAAAGAGTTCAAGTACATGTTTCTCTTTTCAAGAATTTTTTCACTTGAAATGCTAAACAAAAAAAAAAAAAGAAATGAAAGAAAAATTAATCGTCTTTCTCAATTCAATTCCCGCTGTGCTTCAGGCTTGGCGTTCAATATAAAACTATCTTATTGTAATGCCCGTAAACAATTCTGTTGATCGTTCGTTGTTTTTATTGTTGTTAAAGTGACTTTTATTAAATTATCGAGTTGTATACTTTGTTGCCCGTTGTCACTTACTATTCTATTGTTGGCGTTTGTTGAGATTTGTGTGACGTCTTAAATTCATGGATTTATGACATGGATGTGTTTGGTGTTGTCGTTCTCTTTGCAGCGGCATGTGGAATGTACCATACGTCTCGAGCATTTATTTGATCAAAAATACTGCCTTCAAGTATATTAATTATGATCATCAATATTATGATCCCGACATGGCTATGTGCGAATCGTTACGCAATTCGGTAAGTTATCTAAACATCGGTCTCAGTTTTCATATTTTGCATTCTTTCATTACATACTTCTTATCTTTTTAGGGTGTTTTTATGTATGTCATCAATGATCGCCTTTACGGGCATATTGTAAATGCAGATAATTTTGATATCACCTTAGCTCGTCCCGACTTTTATACTTTATTCTCGAATAAATATGATTGGATTGAAAAATATATACATCCTAACTACACTAAACAATTGGAAGACAATTTCAATTATATACAGCCTTGTCCAGATGTTTATTGGCTTCATGTAGTCACTGATGCATTTTGCGACGATTTGGTGGCTATAATGGAAAACTTTGGCAGATGGTCGGACGGCAGCAATAATGATAGTCGCTTGGAAGGTGGATATGAAGCGGTACCGACACGTGATATACATATGAAACAAGTTGGCCTCGATCCATTATGGCTGGAATTTCTTAAATTATTCGTTAGCCCATTGCAAGAGAGAGTGTTCATTGGCCATCACGGTGTAGGTTATCTGTTTGAAACAATATTCGAGAAGAATTATTTAAAATTATTTTTACATGTATTTTTAGCCACCACGATCACTTATGAATTTCGTAGTACGCTACAAACCCGATGAACAACCATTCCTTCGACCCCATCACGATGCCTCGACTTATACAATTAATTTGGCTTTAAATCGTGTCGACATCGATTATGAAGGAGGTGGTTGTCGTTTTATACGTTACAATTGCTCAATCACTGCCACAAAAAAGGGTTGGATGCTTATGCATCCCGGACGTTTAACTCATTTTCATGAAGGCTTGCGCGTCACAAGCGGTACACGTTATATCATGATTTCTTTCGTCGATCCATAAACCAAGAATTCACTTAATGTGCCATAAAAACCTATATATTTAAATACAAAAATAAGTCCAAAGCTTGCAATATTTTTCAAATTTGTCATAAATGTCTATAAAATAAACTAAATACCTTTGCTTAATTTTATAAAATGAAATACGAAAGAAAGTTCGGAAAATCCATTTTACGTAAGACCCTGCCTTAGCTATTTTGTTGCATAACAAATCGTCTTGAATCGAATAGCACGTTATAGAGTTTATGTGTAATAAAAACAATTTTTTACTTATAAAAAATAATTTCAGCGGGTGGATTCAATTTAGATAATTCATTTGCCTCAGCCAAATTACACGAGTCGAATCAGTTAAGTTTAAGAATCAGGCGAAATTAGCAAAAAATATCAGCAACTTGTTAGTTTGTCAATTTTAACAAGTAAGAAAATTATATTCGACTGGGGATGCATCTCGCCTACCCGCCACCATTAAAATCTTTGGCCTCCCCTGGCTTTCAAGTAATTTCTTATACGTGAAAAACTAAATGGGATAAAATTTATTTTTTTTCTCACCTTTTACATCACTAGCAGGTGGTGTTAACGAAAATTAATTTACCACGTCGTGGCCTTTACTATAATTAATTTAGAATTAACACAATTAGCTTTTGCCATTCCGCTTTACAAGCCCTTTTATTTGATACCTACATGGAAGGTATTTTTAAGAAAAAATCTATCAACCATGTCGTGACATCATCGACGGCTTTCAGCTTTACTTGATACCCACATTGCTGATATTATTAAGGAATTAATTAATCGATCGGGTCGTGGTGTCCATGATATTTATTGTAGAATTAGCCCATTTTCTCATTTGAGGAATGCACAATATAGCCGTAAGCAATCTGTCTTGTTTACCTTATGATTAATAAGCAGAAAATCTCAAAAAAGTAAACAAAAGAAAGTTGAATAATTTGCCGATTCTTTCCTTTTTTTGCATATACATTTTTCCATATACAAAATTTCCACCTTCTACTTTTGCAATTTCTCAGTAATGAGCAAAACACCGCAAATTTTTGTTTAGAGAAACCGAGTTGCGTTCAGTTTATGCTTCACTGCAGCCTTTCGCTCCGACGAATTTAATCCATTTTCCATATCAACCTGCGTGCATAGACTTCCAATGTTCCTACTAAATTTGCAGCTGATATTTTCATTTTTGCGATCAGGAGCGTGCCAAGAACATACTACACATAGACGGACAGACATGGCTTAGTCAATACAGAAATTCATGCCGATCAAGAAGGGTCTCAGGAGATTCTTTTTTGCAAAATGAGTATAATCCCTTCAGTGGTGAATATAAAAAATGGTAGTTTTGTGTTAATGCAGTCTACTTAATTAAAGCGAAGGATCGTAACATAAACGATTGGGTGAACGAGGGAACGAATCAATCAATCAATAAATCCACATTGTAAAAACCTAACACATTAGCCAAGCAAATCTACAATGAAAAAATTGCAACGCCTGCTTTCTTACATATGAATTTTCAAGTTCTTTGGTTTGAAATTTTAATTAATATAAAAAAAAAAAGAAAGAAAATTCAAAATTGTGTTCGCTAAGCAGAATGTAGAAGAATTTCGAATATACGTCAGTCAAGGAACTTAAGAAAAACTGAAATAAGTTTTCATGAAGCTCATTCTTATACGGAAGTGACTCCGAGCAAACAATATTCGACCATTTTTATAGATTTACTTTTAATATTTGCTGGCGAAAATTTTTCCTAAGCTGGATGTCTGTCCGCCCATAATATTTCTTTTCGAACACAAAGATTGTAAGTCTCCAGATATTTTCCACACTGATCAGATTGAGTCTAAGAATGCACTTCTCGTGTAAAAGAATTAAATCGAAACATTTTTATGAATGGCAATGTATATCGACGAACTCGTTGATATATGAACAAGAATCATCTGCTTGTTTGTCATTTCTTGATAAAAGAACGTTGAGCAATAGTATTTTGGTGTAGAAAAGGAAGGTGGAAGATTTGGATGGACCGGGACATATTTTAAATTCCTTCTCCTATATTATATTGGTATGATGGCCAGGGAGGAGCTAGTAGGAAAAAACGGAGAGGGGACGAAGCGGCTGGCTAAAAAGGCTGGCACTATTCGCAATGAAGATATGGTTCGAATCTGAGTATGCCGGTTTAATAGTCGCGCCTCTTATTCACCAGGCTATGCGGTAGCCCGATCTACACATTTCCATACAAACATTCTTACAAAAAAAGAGCGTTTCAATGATAACAAGCTCTAATTTACGGTATTTCAAGTTTTAATTCCGAATAAAATCCCTATTAGGCGTATCCAAGATTTGAACTACGTTCGTTCGGTTTTGCCATGAAAAGTAAGCTTTCAAATAATACTTGTTATAGTGGTGTAGCATCTTCAAAGACCGAATTTGCCCAATTATGCTCTTTTTTAACTTATTTGAAACGAATTCAAACCGAATGTTAACGCACTTGGCATAAAGGCCATAACTTTAAAAAAAAAAAAAAAAAGAAAACATAGTAAACTGTAGAGAGAGAGAGAGAGAGAGAGAGAGAGAGAGAGAGAGAGAGAGAGA